GGCATAGCATTCTTCCCGTGTCCACTTCGCTCTCTGCAAGTAAGTTCTCCCTCCAATCGTCTTCTCTTTGCACGTTTTGGGTGAAACGGGAAAGAAATGTCAGCCATTTTGTTTTTCTAAATGGACATTGTAATTATGGGATTGTACGAAAAGTATTGCATTTAAATAGTTTGTAAAGTTTAATAGTTTTGTCTCTGAGGCTCAGTATTAACCAAATGATTCATATGTCCTCACAGGATGTGTCGTTTTGCAATGCTGTTGTTTGTGGTGTTGGCGGTGACGGCCGTCGTGGTGACAGAAGCACAGAGGGAACCTTCAGCTTCAAAGTGTCAGGTGCATAATATCACAGTTCTAAAGTCGCTTTGAGAAAGTAAAGATTGACTTCTTGTCATCAATTTCCTTACACTGCGACCGTATAGAAATTGTCACATAGCTTTGTGAAATCAGTCTTTGTGGGATTTCCACTGACAACATCCCAGTTTTTCTTTCCTCTGCTCTCATTAGCTGCTGAAGATAATAGTGTTGTTGCTTCTTATCCTGTTTATTATAATCTTCTATTCCTGTTTATTATGTTCTACTGCATATTAATTTTTATTCCTGCTTATCATAATCTTCCTCAGGCTGCAACAGAACTAGCCATACAAATTCTGCAGGCAGCGAAAGGCGCTCACACCGGGGTGGTCGTGGGACCCCACAAGAGGAACTCGGAGCTCATCAACTCTCTTCTGGGTCTTCCCAAGTTCATGATTGACGCCGGCAGGAGGTGATGAGATGCCTCCCTCTTCACAAGTTTATGGTTATGATTAGATGCACAAATCTGAGCCCAAAATCCCATGAACCAGTTATAACGTTTCTTATTCTGGGATTGTACTAGACAGAAAAGGATATGTCCTGTAATTTGTGTTTCTTTGGTGTACTAATTCTGAGCATAATTGTTTGACTCTGTGCAGGTCTAACAATAAAGAGCAAATCAAATGATGTCTTTTATATTCTGATTATTAGGAATTCATTATATTTGTTGCAATCATTCCATTGTCGGCTAATTTAATTCCACGAAGAACAGCAGTACATCAATGAGAGACGGTAAAAAAAGAGACTGGCTGAGAGAGAGGGTAAATGAAATAGATTTAGATGTATATATATATAATCCATAAAACGTACACACCAGCCCACGCACACACACGCAAGCTCACATACACATGGTTAGATAGACAGATACATAGAGGTAGATCAATCGATAGATAGAGGTATATAAGTATTATTATGAATTTACAGTTCAACATATACATACACACAGTGTGTAAGTTTGTATCTCATTTCACGTTGGATATGATCTCTTTTGAAACGCTATTATAGGATTATTATTTTCCATTAAAGAAACCTACAAAAACTACAAGATGATCAGCAAAACGGCGTAATCTCTATTGAGGGAAAGGGATTAGGTCTATCGGAAACCAGTTGCGTCCTCGGGAAGTCTGAGGCCGTCCTGACTTAACTTGGATCATGGTCGATGTTTAAACATCCTCGCAGGGCTTGTGGCTCGCTCGTTCAGTCAGATCGCAAGCAAGCAAGACAGACAGACATTTATTACTACACATGTATTTCTGGCAAAGATATATTCGGAACAGGTCAAATACATTTCTTGTATTATGAAGATATGCTCATCCATACCTTTTCAACATTTAGTAATACCTATATGGGCACAACGAAATATCCTCGTGACAAGGATCTTGGGGAAAAGCAAAATTTTGCAACTAAATTACTATTCAGAATGCTATAAGTTGATAGTCAAGATGTATAGCACTTTCAGATGATATATCAAAGCCATAGATCCTAGGGGCCTGACTGAATATATCTATCTACAAGCACCATATTCGATCCATAGACTGATACATATTGAATGATCCGCTAAATAGTGGACTCATGTTGATAATCCTAGAGAGGATTGCAACACTGACAACTACTTACGTACGAGTTCTTCCTTAAGTAAGACCATGATTAGGATTCAATTTCATGCACTCATAGGCACCACACCGCCACTGCGCCATCAAAACTCAAAGTTAGTTGACATTACCAAGTAGACGTAAGGGACATGTTTGTAAAGGAACACGTGTACCAAACTGTGGGGTGCGGTTATCTTTCTGTCCACCTTGACTCTGACCCCAGTATATCAGTTATATATCGTTCTGCACATCTGTCCCTGCTGAAATGAAGGCTGTACCTTCCTGTTAGTCCTCCTGTGTGTACATTACCAAAGGAAGCAACTGCTTCGCACCTTCCACACCCAAGCCTCCTAGGTGACCTATATCTTCCCCTCGACCAAATCATATGAACTCACCCCCTCTGATATGGTCGAATGAATCTGACACTCCAGCAGGCGGGAAAAATCACCCGGACTTGTCTAGCCGCCGCATAAAAGGGCACGTCTTGTCAGAGAGAGAGAGAGAGAGAGAGAGAGAGAGAGAGAGAGAGAGAGAGAGAGAGAGAGAGAGAGAGAGAG